ATGAAGCAGAGGTCAGACATGCTTCCACCCTACAGCTTTCTTTACCCTATTCTGATACCAACCATTCATCCTACAGCACTCTCTATTTTACATCTAGGTTTGATAATCCATTGCACACAGAACTCATTGACAATACTCGTTATCATGGGGGTTTATTAGGGAAGGGAATAGGGAACAATTCAGGATCAAAACGAACTCAGGACACACCAGTGCTCCAGTTAGGAATGCTTCTTGTCTGTCATACTGCAGGTACGTCTCACTCTTGTCTCTAGCCTCTCAGCCATGTGGTTCCTTGGCATCTGCCCTGCTTGGGCAAGAGTTACAAAGTTCTTTTAGCCAGTCTGTGAATGCCCAAAGGCACATTCTTCAAGTCATATCCTGCCTATAGGTTCTCAGCTTTATTCAGTGCATGGGTCTAGAGCCTGAAACTGCTCTGTCTCTCTGTGCCACCGCCTCCGCCATCACTTCCGGCTTAACAGTCCCCTCTGTTGTCACTGTTTCTCATGCTTCACTCATGTTTTTCCTTCTTGATGGTCTTGGGATCTTCCATCTATGCTTCAGAAATGGCACCTTTTAAACCTAGCTGGAGGGCAAAGCTAACTAATCCCAGCCTTAGAGTCCTATATACCTTGTTTGCGTTGTATATATTCCAATCACTTGATGGAATTAAAAAGATACATAAAGTAAATTCAAGGCACCACAGACTTCATACTTGGTAAAGTGGAGGAAACAGTGAAAAGAGGAAGAACCCCAATTAGATAGATTGACACAGTGGCAGCAGCATTGGGCTCAAATGTAACAATTGTGGGATGGCTTGGGATGGTACCCAAGCTAGGCAGTGTTTTGTTCTGCTGTGCATAATGTTGCTATGAGTTGGAACTGATTTGACAGCACCTAGTAACAACAAGTAGCGTAGTGGTTACGAATCGGGCTGCTAACCTTAAGGTCAGCAGTTTGAAACTACCAGCCGCTCTGCGGGAGAAAGATGAGGCTTTCTACTCCCGTAAGGATTTACACCCTCGGAAACCCTGTACAGGGTCGCTGTGGGTCGGAACCGACTCGACGGCACTTAACAACAACAGTAACAACAAGAGAACCTAGCCTATGACAAGTTGTTTTACAGTATATTTTCTCAATGTAATCTAATCTATTTTGGCTCACTAATGGCTCACCACTTGTCTGTCAGTTTGCTGTAATGGGGTGGCTTGCATGTTGCTGTGAGTCTGGAACTTATACCACTAGTATTTTAATTACTAGCAGGGTCACCCATGGTGGACAGGTTTGTTGAGCTTCCAGACTAAGACAGACTAGGAAGGAGAGACAGACTACTTCTGAACATTTAATTACTGAAAATCTTATGAATAGCAAAAATCGTCACCACTAGACCAATAAATAACATCAAAATAAATGGAGAAAAGGTTGAAGTTGGCAAAAACTTCATTTTGCTTGGATCAACCACCAACACTCATGGAAGCAACAGTCAAGAAATGAAGCGACATATTACATTAGACAAATCTGCTGCAAAAGACCTCTTTGAAGTATTTAAGAACAAAGATGTTAGTTTGAGGACTAAGGCATGTCTGACCCAAGCCAAGGTATTTTCAGTAGCGTCTAAAAGGACAAAGAATGACGAAGACTGTAGGAGAATTGATATAATTGAGTTATGGTATTTGAGGACAATATTAAAAGAACCATGAACTGTCAAATGAACAAACAAATCTGTGTTGGGAAGTACAGCCAGAATGCTCTTTAGAAGCCAGGATGGCCAGATTCATCTTTCATATTTTGGACATGTTATCAGGAGGGACCAGTCCCTGGAGAAAGATAATTATACTTGGTAAAGTAGAGGGTCAGTGAAAAAGAGGAAGTCCCCCAATAGTGGCAACAATGGGACTAAGCATAGCAATGGTCGTAAAGTTAGTGTTGTTGTTGTTAAGTGCTGTCAAGTCAATTCCGACCCATAGCGACCCTGTATAGGGTTTCCCAGGAGCAGCTGATGAGCTTGAATTGCCGATCTTGCAGTTCAAACAGCTTTCTAGTCTGGTGCATTAACCCACAGCGCCACACCAAAGTTAGTGTAGGACTGGGCATTGTTTCATTCTGTTTTGCATAGGGTCGCTATGAGTTGGTACCAACTCAGTGTCACCTAACAACAGCAACAATGGCTAGGATATTGACCTTTATGTACCCTATTTCATTTTTTTATGATTTTTAATTTCCCTTAATTCATACTTTGTACATTCCAATTACTAATGGATATTTGCAGTGGTTACTTCAATTTTAACTCATACCAAATCAGCAATGAAGGTCTGTAAATGTTTTACTCCTATTACGTTACTAATCTTGATTATGTTTTGATGAGGCAGCTCTTCTCCAGTTGTATTTTGAGTACCTACCAACCTGAGGTGCTCATCTTCAACAATGTTTTGCTGCTAGCCATAACATTTCCACTAGCCAATATTTTTCTGAAGTAGACTTCTAAGACTTTCTTTCCAATATATATTAAGCTGAAATTTCCACTGACCTTTGCCCATCATCAGTGATCCTGCTGGTGTTAGAAATCCCTGTGGTGTAGCTTCCAGCATCATAGCAACATGCAATCCAACACACTATGACAAGCATAGAAATGAGTGGTGGTACAACCTCATAATAAAGTCAATTTCTGTGTCTTAATTTTGTGAGATATTTGAAAGACATCAATTTCTGCATTTTATCCAATTTACATCAGTGATCTATTATTGTCTTAATTTTCATCATTCTTGAAAGACTCTTACTTTGGCATTCTTTTTTAAATCATGGAAATGTAATTGTATTTTTAGCTTAAGAGATATTATGGAATATCTTTACATAAGTTTGGTCTTGTTATAGGTAGATTTTCTTTGGTTCTTGTCTGTGCCTTTTCACTTTGAAACACACAATTATACATGTCATCTAACTCCCACTTCTTTCTGATTAAAAGCCCTCTGATGGCATACATTTCTCCTTTAATCAATAATCCTTACAGATACTCATTACAACCCATAATTATAACTAACACTCTTGAAAATGTTGCTCGGAATGTCCACAGGTACTCTTGCTCTCTCCCATTATCTCAGACATCTTTACTCTCGTATTTTCTTTTGTTTTCATGTAATGATTTATAATCCAGACTGGGATCCAGCTTTGAAGACACAGCTGATGTTAGGTAACTAAGGAACATTTGGGCTTTGTTGTTGTTGTTGTTAGGTGCCTTTGAATGGGTTTCACTCATAGCAACCCTGTATAGGGTTTCCTAGGAGCAGATGGTATGTTTGAACCTCCTACCTTGCATTGCAAACCTTCTGATCCAGTACTTATCCAACAATGCCACACCAGTGTTTTCATTATTAACAATTACATGTGTTGTTATATGTTAACATGGGAATGGCTGTACTAGATTATTTAACAGTTGAAAGGGGTGGGAAATGGAAAGAACTATTTACAGAATGAGTGAAATTTGCTTGAATATCTTATTTGTCTACTGCTTCAATAATAAAAATAGTAGAAAATAACTGAAAAACATATATTCATGATTTAAAGTTGGTTTATGCTAAGCACTATCTGAAAAGAGATTTATTATCACAGAAACATCTTTCTTGGACCTGAATATCTAGAAGGGAGTCCCTGGCTGGTACTGATGGGTAATACACTTGGGTGCTAACCAAAGGTTTGGAGATTCAAATCCATCCTGAGGTGATACAGAAGAAAGACCTGTCTGTCTGTCTACTTCTAAAAATCAGCCATGGAAAATTCAAGGGTGCACAGTTCCATTCTGACACCTGTGGTGTTGCTGTGAGTTGGAATGGATTCGATGGCTTTAGGTTTTCTGATACTATCTAGGAAGGATCACTTAATTACTGTACACAAAGGTAAGGAAAAAGATACAAAATATCCGAGACAAATCCAGTAGCTTATATCTACTAGTAGACATATGATGTACACAAATAACTAGCGTGTGGTTTTAGAGAGATTTAAAGATAATGAAAACAACACCGGACGAATCCAGAGACTTATCTAGCGAGTACTGACACGACTAGGATTGGGCCAGTTGTTTTCCCTTTGCTCCCTTGCTTTATACTTGTCCAGAGAGAATGAGCTGTCTCCTTAAGGGGTCCATGAATGCTTGCCCTGTCTCAGTCCATGGTATTGAAAACAGCTGTCACCTGGACGTCAAGGCACTAGTATTGGAAAGGCCAATTGCTTTTATTAATCAATACACATCCATTCTTCATCTTGGTTTCTTTCTTCACATCATGAAGGAAGGTGAAAAATTGTTTGGTAAATTTTAGTTGTTGGTTTTTTTTTTTTTTTGTATATAGGATTTACTTGAATTTGACATTTTTACATACTTATTTTCTTCCTTTCCCATTAGCTTTAAAGAAGGGAGAAGGAAAGGTGTTCCCTCTTATGTTTTCCTTTTCAGCCATTTTTCTTTGTTTATTAAATGAAATAACAACACCACAACATCCACCACTTGTATTTATTTCAATACTTTCACATACCTTTTCACATTTGATGACTACATTAATTTTCTGAGAAAAGATGTATGTGCTCTTTTTATAGATGAAGGAACAAATATAAAAAGTTACTGATGCTTTTTTCAGTGTTTTTTTTTTTTTTTTAAAGTCAAAGTTAGGTAAAATGACTTGTTTTATCGCAAGTGGAAGAATGTGGCAAAATTCTATTACTTCACAAGGCCAACAAGGTCCAAGGTATGTACAGAGTCCAAGTGTCGCACTGTGGATTCATGCACTGGACAGCAGTGGGTTTGAGGTGCAAGGTCAAGCTCACCAGCCACTCCTTAGTAACGCTACACAGAGTCACTATGGGTCAGAACTGACTTGACAGCAGTTAATAACAACAACAAAGTATGCACAGACTGTCATGGGAATTAGTATTCCTTTTACTGCAGATTCATTTCTTAAGTAAGAGAGGGATTGAAGTAAAAAATATAAACTCACTCTTGTTTCTTTATTTCTAAGGGTGCCTTTAGCCGTCTTGACCCAACTGGAGAATTTGAAAAATCAATGATTGACAGGATTCCTTGTGGTCGGCTAGGAACTGTGGAGGAACTTGCAAATCTTGCTGCTTTCCTTTGCAGTGATTATGCTTCCTGGATCAGTGGCGCAGTAAGCATTGTTTTTTTCTCTTGACTTTTGGGGAAGCAGACTGAGGGTTGGGAGCATATTATTGAACCAATCCTAACAATGCTGAATGTGGAAGTATGATTTTAAATATTTCCTTACTTACCTGTAAATATAAAAATATATGTATTGTTTAGCCTATGAAATTAATTTATTGACAAATTAATGTTACTGGGTACAAGTTGCCATGGTTTTAAGTTGATTTAAAGACTGGGTAGAATTTGAGTATATGGAAAGAGTATTCTAAATGGAAAGAAACTGTTTGAGTTTTTGTCTTTGAAATGTGTTTGGACTTTGGTTGGAAGTACTAAGGAGATTTCCCATCCATATAGGATGGGGAAATGGCTAATGGTTTATTTCAGAGTTCTTAATTTATTGTTTTTTTTCCTCAGGTTATTAGATTTGATGGTGGAGAGGAAGTTTTTATTTCTGGGGAATTCAACAGTCTGATGAAGGTAATGCCATGTTGTATATATAATATTGGCAGCTGTGATACTAAGGTTTAAACATGGGAGAATCACCTTAAATTGACATTATTTTTGTGTGTGTTAGGTCACCAAGGAGCAGTGGGACACAATAGAAGGACTGATCAGGAAAACAAAAGGATCCTAGGACCACCATCATTCATCCATAGAAAAACTGTCAGTGAATTCAAATGATCCAGACAAGTCTCTAATCTTTTAAGTTGTTTAAAACCTAATAAACTGTTTATTAGCAAACATATATTGAGTGTGCATTATGTATCAGGCTGAGCAGGAGACTATATTCAGAGGTTTTATATTCCATTTAAGGAATTTGAAAAGAGAGAGCGAATGGATGAGGATTTGGATAGAGTTCAAAAGTGTTTAGAAGTATAGATAAGGGAACAGACATATGGAAAACTCAGGGGAAATTTCATTGAGGAAATAACATTTGACTTACATATCAAACCATGTAGACCAGAAAGAAAGGAATTAGTGAATCTCTACTGAATCTAATCGACACTACCTTTCTAGTTTATTTTGTTTTCATTGAGATTGCAAATGATCTTCTTTAGCTAGCTCGATATTAATTCAAACCTAAAATATTTACAGTACCTGTTTTGTAGCTAGACACTTTATTTGGCACTTAGGATTTTAAAAAGAATAATTTATCACCCTTGCTGTCTTAAAACTCATCTAGCAGATTAGACAGAGCTATAAATAATTATTTATGATACAGTGTGGTAAATATTACTTTAGAGGTGTTAAATGTGGAAGAACAAGTAATTCATTCTGTCTATCCTAGTTTAAAGAAACTGATTCCTAGGAGATAGCATTTCATCTCTGCATTAAATGAAGAATAGATCTCTCTGGGGAGAGAAGAGGAGTACAGCCTATAAAATATTTTTATGTATAATTCCATTGTATGTCTGGTTTTATTAATCTATTATCTTGAGAGCCAAATAATAAGTAAAATAAACTCTCAAGTCTACATTACTTTAATTTTGAGCCTATATTAAAAAAAAAAAGTCCAATTTGCTTTCATCAGCATCCCTCATAACTTGCTCACTTGGTTATCTCCACTGCCCAAATTTATCAAGAGATTACCTGGTCTGAATCTACCTGCGAAGGAATACAGCAGTTTTCTTATTTAAATTTATATGCGATAATCCCCAAAGGGAAACCTTTGTTTTTGTTGACAGGTAATTGTATACATAAGTCACATTTATTATATTTAATTGTATATGTAAATGAGTTAAGGTAGAGATTTGAAATACACAGCCTGTCATTTCCAATTACACTGGCTTTCACTGAATGTTTTATATTACATTTTTCTTCACATTCTCTCAAAGTAGGTACCCATTTTACCTTTAAACATCATCCTTCATTTACTCTCACTCATCCATGACTTTTTTTCAAAAATATTATAAACATCTCTTGTGATACGAAGAAAAAATGTCTGTAATTTTATGACATTGGACCAGTTTCATTGTAGCTTAGTTTGCTTATCTGTAGAATTGAGAATTACACTATCAGTCTCACTAGGTTTTTATGAGAATTAGAATCCCTAGGTGGGCTGCTAACCAAAAGGTTTGTGTTCACCCAGACGCACCTTGGAAGAAAGGTCTAGCCAACTACCTTTGAATAATCAGCCATTGACTACCTGATGGAACACAGTTCTCTGACACTATGATGTCATCCAGTTGGAGTCACCAGCGGCAATAACGAGCATGATAAAACAAGGAAAACAGTTTGAAAAACATCAAACATACAGATGGAGGATGGGACCTTCCTGGCTTTTTCTACTGATTCATTTTTAAGACATGGTTATCAAGGAGAAATAAGAGAATATGGAAGACTAGAGAAAAAAATACAATGATTCACTAACCTCCTGAAGACCACTTCTGTCAACACTTTGGTGTTACAGCCTTTTATTTTATTACTTATTTTTACTTCAGTAAGTTTGTGTATACAATTTGCACAACAAGTAGTACTGCAGTCCTAGTTCCAAAGTGTACTTCTCACAGCAACTGTTTTCAACTCTTTCTATTTCTTCTGGAATGCTACTTCCATTTTTTAAAAGCAAAATACTTATTATTCTATTTATTTATGCTATCTTTTTTTCAATTTTAAAAGCTTTGTTGACTTTCTTCTATGAATGATGAAGGTTAAGCCTTAGTGTTCTATTTCTACCCCCACCCTTTACCTCCTACCAAACAAACGTGAACACAAACTCTTTCCCTCCACTGATTCCATGTAGCCAGATTATTCTATTTTAGGTTAAATTAATATTCAGTGTTTACATTTTGATAAGTTTACAAATGATAATTTTTTTCCCCAATTATTTTTGCCTGTCCCCTGCCAATTTTTAAAACTTAATTGAGATTTTATTATAAATCAGATCATGTTTTTTCATAAACATGATACTTAGTATTCTATTATTCGTATGTATCATAATTTATTTAAATCTATTTTCTAGGCATTCAATTATTTTTCATAGTGTTATAAATAAAAGTATGATGAATAGTGTGCAGAAAACATTTTTTAGTATTTGGAAGTTTTTCCTGCTGATAGATTTCTGGAAGTATTGTTGTTTTTAAGTGCCCTCAAGTCAATTCTGACTCATAGCCTCTTTTGTATAGGGTTTCCAAGGATTAATCAAAGACTATGAGGCTTCTAAAGTCCTTGATATACATTTCCAGATTGTTATTCAAAAGCATTGTGTGGGTTTAAACTCCCATGAGCAATGTGTCATAGTGCCAATTTTAACAAGTACCTGCTAACACAGGGTATTCTTATTTAAAAACTATTTACCAATTGTAACAGATGAAGACTTGAAGAAAAATGTGTTTATTTATTAGATTGAATATTTTTCTACATTTGTTTGTTTTCTGCTTGTTTATTTGCCTATTGACGTCTTAATGAGATATTAAAAAAATGATTTGTGAGCTTAAATATTATTTTTCTTGTTAATCTTCACTTAGAGTTTATTTCATTGCTGTGTGTATTTTCAAATAATAAGAAAATGAAACTCTCAAGTCTACGTAAATTTAATTTTGAGTGTATAGTTTTTAAAAAGTCCAATTTGCTTTCATCAGAATCACGCAGTATGTTCTCACTGGACTATCTCCATTGGCAGAATTGCGTTTACCTCCTCTGAGATATACCTGTAAAGGAATACAACCATTTTCTTATTTGAATTATTTGAATGCTGTATTCAAAGCATACAGATATAACTTTGAGAGAAATTATGTGGATAACAAGTAATAGAAAACTCTTTCAGAGTCTGAAAGAGAAATAAGTGTTTTTGATGGAGTATTACTATATTTTATGACCACCTTTGGGCTATAGCCATATCACTATTTTACCTTAAGAATTATTAGGCTGCTACTCTATGAGTCTGAGTCCAGGTGTGGTGCTGTGGGTTAATGCACCAGACTGCAAAGCCATTTGAACTGCAACGTCGGTGGTTCAAGCTCACCAGCTGCTCCTCGGAAACTCTATAGAGGGTCACTATGGGTCGGATTTGACTCGATAGCACTTAACAACAACAACTCTATGTGTCGGAACCAACTCGTTGGGACTTAACAACAACTCAGTACCACCTCTAAGTCCTGCTTCTCTCTCTCTCTCTCTCTTTTTTTAGTCCTGCTTCTCTTGCTATAATGCAAGAGTTAATACTCAGCTAATGAAGTTGAGCATTATTCGGATCAGTATCAATAATATTACAATTATTATGTGAAAATGGAACACCTTCAGGAAACGTTTCTGGTCTGGAGTGGCCTCTGTTGCTCCTTTATTGTTCTGTGGAAAGCTAAAACAGTAAGAATTTATGTGGCTTTGGTAGTGGTGGTGGTAGTCTTGTTCTGTTGAGTCAGTTCTTACTCATTGTGAACCTGTATAGGGTTTCTGAGGCTATACACATTGATGGGAGCAGAATGTCTCATCTTTCTACTACAGAGCATCTGGTGGACTTGAACTGCTGGTGTTTTAGCTAGCAGCCCAACATATACCACCATGGCTTCTTTATGTAGCTTTAAGTAATAGATTTTTAGATCTGGAAAAGGCTTTAACCAGTAATACCAAACCAATTGCTGTAGGGTCATCTCTAACTTGTAGAGACCCCAGGTATGCCACTGTGCCCCAATGGGTTTTCGATGACTAATTTTTAGTAGTAAATCACCAGGCCTTTGTTCTGAGGTACCTGTAGGTAGATTTCAATCTTCAACTTTTCAGTTAGCAGCCAAGCATGTTAACCATTTACACCACCCAGGGAGTGTACAACAATCCTTAGAAGATATTAACTTCTTTATTTTACAGATGAGGAAATGGAAATCTGAGGAAAATAATGTGACTTGCCCAAGATCACACAGCTAGTCGAGCTAGAACTAGAGCTCACGTCTCCTGATTGGACCAGTGTCTTGGGATTTTAACTTGAACCAAGAGACAATAGAAAGGTGTTTATGAGCTAGTTTTATTTCAAAAGGCTGCAAGAGAAACAAACAAAAACCCATTAATTTTTACAGCTTTTTATTTGACATATGGTCTCTAAAAGCACACAAATGATAACTAGATGAACACATCCAGGTCAACAAACAAGGAATCCAGTAGCTTCCTCCATGCTCATCATCACACCATCCTCTTCCTTTCTAAAATTAACCACTCTTGACTTCTCATGCCATAGTTTTTGCTGCTTTTGAAATTTATGTGAATAGAATCACAATATCTACTCTTCTGTTTCTGGCCTTTTTTCTGGTTAGCAATTATTTAAGCATTTTCATTTCTATCTACTATTCCACTGTATGAATGTATCACAATTTACTAGTTCCACCATTGTTGGACATTTGAGTGGTTTTTAGTGACTGACTGACAAATACATTGCTGCTATGAACATTCTTGCCCTTATCATTTGGTGATGATACATACGCATTTCTGTTAGGTTGATTATACCAAGAAATGAAAATACTGGGTTGTAGAATGTGAGTATGTTTAAATTTATAAGATACTGCCAAATAGCATCCCTCCAAACAGTGTGTAAGAGTTTTCTTTGTACCACATCCTCCCCAGTACCCAGCATCCTGTTGTGTGCCATCACACAGCATCCTAAGTCTCTTTAATTTTAGCTTTTCTGATGAGTGTATGGTAATTACCTCTTTTGTTTTTTATTTACATTTTTTCTGATTACTGATAGATAAGTGTGGTTACTTTTTATACTTATTGGACTTTTAGAATTCACTTTGTGAAATGCTCATTCAACTCATATTTTTTAAAGTTGATTTTAGCAGTGATAATTATGCATTTTAGTTGTATGCCTTGTCAGTTGTAAGTATCTTCTCCCACTCAGAGGTTTGGTTTTCTGTTCTTTAATAAGTGTTTCTCATGAACAGAAGTTCTTAATTGTAAGAGTCAAATTTTTCCATCATTTTCTAATTCATAATTGATCATTTAGAAATCTTTCTATTCATGAGACTCGTGAAAATTTTCTCCTGTGGTGTTGTGTACATGCATTTCACATTTAGGTTGAAGATATCCCTGGACTAAATTGTGTGTTATGGTTTGAGGTAGGTTTTGTACCAGTCATCATACATTTGCCCCTTTCAGACTCATTTTCCCCTCTTTGTTCTGTTTTCTGTCCCAGGAGGCTGACTCATGTAAATATGTCTGCTTTAGCAGTTACTGGCCAGGTACCAGATTCCTGCCCGTTGTATCAGCTTTGGAAGAAGTCTCTTAAACAATGCTCCCATCATGCTTCTTGTTTTGTTTTTCTTCCTTTTTTCCATGTGGTCATTTTAAGAGTGCCAACCCTGGTATAGGTTATGCATGTATATTGCAGTGAATGGTGATTGGTAGTTTATAACTACTGATCTTTCAGCTAGAAGTTCTGTGATTATTAGGTGTTAATAAGAAATCTGTGTTAGAAAAAGTACAGCCAGAATGCTCTTTAGAAGCTAGTATGACCAGATTTGTCTCTCAAACTTCAGACATATTATCAAGAGGGATTAGTCACTGCAGAAGGACGTCAGACTTGGTAAGAGGAGGGCCTGCGAAAAAGAGGAAGACCACCAACGAGATGGATTGGCACAGTGACAGCAGCAGTGGGCTCAAACGTAAGAACGATTATGAGCATGGTGCAGGAGTGTGCAGTGTTTCTGTTGTGCATAGAGTCACTATGAGTCAGAACAACTCGACAGATCCTAACAACAAATTACAATGTGGCCATTGTAATGAATTATTGAACTCAGCTGAGAAATAAAGAGTACTATGGGAGGAATGATTGGTCTGTTTCTTGCACACTCCTTAATCCAGTGAGACAGCCAATAACTCATTGAGTCTGGTTTGCATTCATGATTTTTAGTTAGGTTTCTTCACATAAAACCAAACTCAAATGCCATCAAATCAATTCTGGCTCATAGCAACCCTATAGGACAGAGTAGAACTGCTCCATAGGGTTTCTGAGATTGTAAATCTTCACGGGAGTGTCTAGACAGTCTCATCTTTCTCCTGTAGAGTTGCTGTTGGGGTAGAACCACCAACCTTTCAGTTAGCAGCCAAATGCTTAATCCCCTGTGCTACCAGGTTTCCTTATTTAGGTTCCACTAAATCTGAGCATTTGACCTTCCCACCTGGATTCATCACAGGATACATGTCAACTGACATTTTGTAGAAAACACAAAAATACAAGAGATGAAGGTTATTCTCTTTATTTACTCTTACTAGTTAAATTCAGCCTAAGGTCAGTGCTTCCATTTACACAAGAGGCAAGGCCTATTTACCACTCACATTATTTGATCAATTTATTTTTTGGAAGCGCTCCTTTACTCTTCATTCTTGGGAGAAAGAGATAGCTCACTTTTTTTTTTCCCCTTTGAAATGAGAAAATCAATGTTGAATTTATAGAATGGGGGTCTTCAAGCTGATTCCAGAATCATCAGCACCTCTTTGGCAGTAACTTTTTAGACTTTTCCAGGACACATCTCCAATGACTCCCTACTTCACAATCAGAGAATCAGACAGCCACCACCACTGCATGTCCACTATGACCAGTATACAATAGTCTACCTACAAATATGTGAAATTGTGACTTTGATGTGGGTCAAAGATTATTTTAGTCTCCTTTGCTAAATGAGATAAATAATTACATTAACATTTCTCTTCAGATATAATTGTGAATTCATTTGAAACTATTTGCAGACAGAAACAGAACTATTTTGAATGCCGATCTCAATATAGGATTCACAGAATACACAAAAGTACTGATGATATAACATTCAACAATCAGGATGCTATGAATTTTACATTAAAATTCAGTTATGTAGTAAAAAATAGAATTGTTATAGCTAGAAAAAAATATTTTCAGAGGCAGCAAATACCCTGGGTGGAAATGAACATTTCTACGTAGAAAGAAAATCCAGGAAGTATGCAAACTAGACACCAGGATACTCAGTATATGAAATTTAATTAGAGATTGCACAGAATATGATGTAAAAACAGCAGTTTACTAGAATAATAATAATCTGCAACACGTGAAAACAGTTTAGAAAATAGCTTAAGATCAGACCTTCTGACAGTAGGATTACTGGAAATACACAGGTAGAGTATCAGGTTTAAGTACCAAGTCTGATGCCACCTTTCCTGATCATCAAATCAATTTGAAAAATTGGTATAAATTCAATCAGTAGATGTAGTGTTGATTAGTAAAGAAAATGTTTTCTAGTGAGGCTCTTCATAGAGCCACAATTAACTATTTATTGATAATTATATTTTTGGTGAGTATTTTAGATGTACAAGCACATTCCTCTTAATAATTAGAAACATTACTGAAAAATATGTTGTGAGACAGTCCTCCATTTGCCTGAAGTAAGAATTCTTGGCCTGTTAACATGTAATTATATTATTCAATGACCAATGTGCATTTACACATCAGAAACTAGGATTTTAGAGTTTGATCCTGGTAGACCTTTAAGGGAAATCGTGTCCAACTGTCTTTATGAAAGTAAGAATATGTTTGATAAGTCTTCTTTAATTGGGTATATTGACTGCCTAAGTGTATTCATTCTCCGTTTCGATCATATAATTACAAAAACTGTACATTACAAACAGTATAGAAACAAGCTGAAAAGAAAGTAGCACACATCCTGGATAATTATCTATATGCAGTTAAATTTACAGATATAAAAGAAAATGCAGCCTACTCCTTTATAGCGCACAGTTATTTTTTAGATACAATGTATCGCTAGTAAGTGGTCTTCATCACCCAACTAGTTGTCACCAGCACAGAGAATCAGAGCAAGATCTGTTCGGTACAGCTTCCCTCCATCCGACAAAGCCATTATGCTCTTCTTGTATGTTGGAATATTGTTAATATCTAGATCCTGGATAGACACAGATACCATTGTAATCCAGTTAAATATGGAATTCAATTAATCACTGCTAAGTGAAAACTGCTTATACCTCAATCCTTTAAGAAAACTGGATCAAAGTCTTGGACAAATGTAGACTCATCTTAAGATTGTTTTTTTGATATATGCATGACAATCACTGATTTAGGTTGTAGCAAATTGATTTAAGACCTGAAATCTACTTCTGCTCCTCGACTAATATTTCAATAGATTTCCACAATGGATGTTGCAGCTAATTCTGGAAGGATCTTCAGAATTTGCTTAAGAGGTGTCATAGTAACTAAATTACCTGTTTATTCTTCTCGCAGAGATCCTTCAGTAAAGCATCTAGTTCATTTTCATCTATGTATCCATTTCCATCCTGGGGGGAAGGAAGCAGAGAAATAATAATAATAATAACAATAATGGAAATCCTCAGAAAATTTCCCCACTGAAGGTTTAGCAGATATTCTAAACTCTGAGGTCTCCAAAGTTTTTGTTGTTATTGTTTGTTGTCTGGTTGATTCTCACTCATAGTGACCCCATGTGTGTAGAGTAGAATTGCTCCGTAGGATTTTCAACATTGTGACCCACAGCGTGAGTTCAATCTACCAAGTTTTCAGCTAGTTAAGTGCTTAATTATTCCCATCCTCCAGGGTATTCAATACTTTTCAGCTGCTATGAAATTCCAAAACAGGTATGTTACCTCTTATTCAGCACTTAAATTTGTAAAATATCTTGCTTGCACTTTTTAATGTACTTTCATATTTAATATTTTACTTTGTGCTCACAATATTGGCTCCTGTTGAGACCAGTAATCACAAATATTTTCATATGACAAGTGAGATTATTTATTGTTTACAAATGAAGAAACTGAAGTTCAGAGAGGTTTGGCATCTTGTTCAAAACCAGTCAGCAGATAAATTGTGGTTGGGGATTTGTATCAAGGTTTGTGTCATTTGGTCCAAACTATACCATGAAACATTCTGATGGAAAAGAATGTACTGTTTATGTATTTGTAATATGCCGTGTTTCTTTTAGCCTTGAGTTTGTGGGGGATTTTTCCTTATTGAACATCTAACAAATTTTTCTAAAGATTCATACGATAGATAAGAACAAGTTTTTACCTGATCGTATAACTCAAAAGCCTTATTGAACTCTTTCCCACACATTTTGATTCCCTAAAAGACAGAAGAAGTTAAAATGCTATTATTGTATTTAGTGTGTTCCTCTTAGAAAATCTTCCATAATCTGAGTTTTCAAGGAAAATGGTATTCATGGCAGAGAAAAAGTTAAATACCTGAAATTTAAGAAGAAAATTCTCCTGCACTGGTAGTAGCCTTTTTGAGAGAAAAACATTATAGTAACACATTAGTTGTGTTTCACAAGGTCAGTTTACAGTAACAACATTTGCATAATTTCTAAACTTACCTGGCCATCTCAGTTAATTCCAGCTTGCCATCATTATTTGAATCAAACAATTTCAGCTGAAAGACAGAAATCATTGTTCTAGTATTGTAGAATGATTATCAAGTACTTATATAGAAAGCTAAATTCTAGAAACTAGAATATTTTGTTTACTTCCAACTTGTAACTGTGTCAACTGCCAAAATTTATCACAATAACAACAGTCAAAAGTAATAATGGCCTTCGCTAAACTTCTAGAAGGTCGTCATGTATTGTTTTTTTTGTAACTGTGTAGACGTATCGAGAGTAGGAGGAAAGAAGTCTGACAGTATATGATATTCCCAGAACCTCTCCAAACAAGGGTCTGAAAAGAAATATTTAATGCGTTCCCTTTTGGAGCATAAGAAAGTACAAGCAGGATCAATAGGCAGGTAACATGGATAAATCCTTAGTGAACAGAACTTTTGAGCCATTTTGAATTGCTTGGTTTTCCATTGAGTACTAGTCATTGAAGTCCCCTACTTCCTGTTACACTTATATACACATACACATACTCACATATAACACACTGCTACTCATATTTGAGCAGTTCCAATTTTAGAAATTAACTACTGCTAGGAGCTCTGGTCGATGGCACATAAAGGAGCTCTGGTAGTGTAGTGGTTACGAATCGGGCTGTGAACTTTAAGGTCAGCGGTTCGAAATTACCTGCCGCTCCGCGGGAGAAAGATGAGGCTTTCTACTCCCGTCAAGATTTACACCCTCGGAAACCCTGTACAGGGTCGCTATGGGTCGGGACCGACTTGAAGGCACTTAACAACAACAACAACAATGCTATAGTGCTGTCGAGTTGGTCCTGACTCCTAGCAACCCTGTTTTCAAGGACGGATGGTGCGTTTGAACCACTGACCTTTTGCTTAGCAGTCCAGTGCTTATCCTCCAGCACCACACTAGGATTCCATGTTAGTTATAAATACTACCTATAGGATATTAAGTATGTGAAATAAGCAGCATTATTTTTGTTTTTAACCATAGGATAGCGATCAAGGTAGTACTGGCATTGGTTCATTGAGGTAGGTTTCTTTAGGAAGAAAAGGAAAAGCATTTTCTGGTCTGAGATATTGTCAGTATCTTTGGTAGGAGGCAGGATTCTATACTGGCACATTTTATAATCCATTGAACATGAATTCTAGTATTAGTACACTATTTTCTAAGATACTGTACAACTAGATCACAGAGTTTAGTGCCCATAGGGAAATATTTCCCCAAATATATATCTAATTTTTAATTAGTTCTTGATTAACTTGCTTCCTGAATTTAAACTGGTTTATGACATTTAATCAGATATGCCAGGCCAATCCAACAGGGGCAAAACTCCCATCTGAGTGGTTTTTAAAAGCCTGCTTCAAATTTTCACCTGGAAAGGAGTTTTTACTTTAAATAGACATCCCTTAAAATTGGAACAAACAGAAAATTGATAAATGTAGGTTACTGTCCATTACCTAAAGTTACTCAGAGTTTAAATCTACCCATTGCGATACATAGCATACTAGTGCTGTGAGAAAATGGTAGTGTAATGAGGAATTTAAAAAATGACATTTCCTAACAACAAAAACATTTTCCCTAGTTTTGAGACTAAAGATTAGTTCCACTTCTTAATGAATACTATTATATAGAGAAAATGCAATAATAAAGTTCTAATGTTGTTGTTTTTCTTTCTAAATAATAGTAGACTACAGTCCTGGTATGGTGCTGTAGGATAAGTACTGAACTGATCACTGAAAGGCTGATGGTTCAAATCCACCAGCTGCTCCTTGCAAACCTATGAGTCAGAACTGACTTAATGGTAGTAACAAGAGTCTGAAAGCCAACCTCACACAAAATATAAGCAAGCTCTTTTATAATTATTTTTTCTCAAGGTAACTAAAAAGTAACTCCTTCATCAATCTAATATAATCCAGCAGCATTTATAATGTATGGCTATGTTTTATTGGGTTATTTAAATTCATAGGGTAAGAATTCACTATACACTACTTCAGATATGTATAAATCTATACAGTGTTTCAGACATGAGTAAATATATGTATCCATTTGGATTACTTAAAATTTTATCTTAATTTTAGAAATTCCACAATTAGAATGATGCCAAAACATTGGCCTGTAACTCGGTAACTTTTGGCAAAAACTTTTTCCTGTATTCCTAATTTTATAATGAATCAAAATGAGCAAACTTTATCTTCTTGAAATGAATTAACTTCATAAATATTGGATTCTTTCATCTAAAAGCTCATTATTTGTTCTTTCACCAAATAAAGAGTTGTACTATTTATCATTTAAATGTGTTGTTGTTAAGTGCCCTCAAGTGAGATCTGACTCATTGCAATTCTGTATGGGGTTCCAAGGTATGGCTGGTGGGTTTGAACCATCAGCCTTGTGGTTAGCAGTCCAGTGCTTATCCTACAGCAAATACGCTGGATATATTTGGATTCCCTCACTTATGGCACTAGCTCAATGAATTAAAAGAAAACAAAATAAAAATCAAATCCACTGCTGCCATAGAGTCACTTCTGACTCATAACGACCCTGGATGTGGTTTCCAAAGCTGTACATCTTTACAGGAGCAGAAAGTTTCATTGTTCTTCTGAGAAGTGTCTTGTGGATTTGAACAGCAAACCTTGGGGTTAGCAATCACTGCTTATTCTACAATGTCACCAGGGCTCCTTAACTCGAAGAATAAAGTATCTAGAAAGTTCGTTTTACTGTGACAATATCTATGATTGCCTAAAACAAGATGAAAATGAATTCTGAATCTCTATAATAAATGATTTTTTAGAGATATGATTATGCTGGCTTTTAAAGAAAAACGAGTCATTTTTTTATAGATAAAAAAATTCCTGACTACAAGAGAAAGAAATGTACATGTGTGTTGAACTTGAGAGCTGATGCCTACAGCTGTCTGTCACATTTGGCTGGGATAACCATCCTTAAGTAATTCACTTTTCCCATGAACTGATACCACACCAGCAGTTATTTATTACATCTTGTGTAGCCACAGGAATCAACAAGAACATAGTAATAGTTGATAAACTTTTAGCTACAATCTTTCCAAGATATATCTTACCATTAGGTCTGTATATTCAGCTAATTTTGTATCATCAACCGTCTTGTTTGCCTTTTCTAGCAAATCCTTTAGAAAGTTCTGTTAAGACAAAGAACACTCAGATAAATTTCATTCATAATATACATTCCATTTCAGCATGACTTGAAATAGAATGTCCCAGGAATGCAAAGAAAATCTCTTTCTGAAGTAGAAGGGGGTGAGTAGAGAATCTTAGAAGTGGGGCTAAACCATGTGGTCCTCTTGGCATTTCAGCCATCAAACCACCTTATGATAGTACCTTTTACTGAACACTGATCTTTCCAAGTCTGTGCTAAATTGTTTTATGATTTCAGTTAAAGGATTGTCTGGCTAGAGCATTGTTTAGGAGTCTGATTAAAACCTTTTTGTTTCTGTCAGCCCAATGAATGAATTTATACCTAAAAAAAAAAATTCACTCGTGATTCTTCTATATGAAACATGAAGGCCCTCCCTAGCTACACATTTATAACATGTGTGAAAAATTATCAGTAAGCCAGAAGAGTGTTGTTGTAAAGTGTTGTCGAGTCGGTTTCGACCCATAGCAACCCTGTATAGGGTTTTCGAGGAGCCGATGGTGAGCTTGAACCGCCGACCTTGCAGTTCAAATGGCTTTGCAGTTTGGCACATTAACCCACAGCATCACACCAGGACTCCAGATTAATAGCTACCTCTAATTTCAAATGCATCTTCTGCCTTCACAAACTGTACGAGGGAGCTACAAAAGGCTCGTGGAAAAATTTCATTGCTTTACATTCAAGTTTTCCATAAACCTTTGAAGCCTCCTAATTTTTCCCACATCAGTTTATGGCTAGTATAAAGCTCATTAAGCAAGAGGGCTAGGAGGTTAGCTTTTAGGGTCAACCTAGCTTGAGGCACCTTAGTGAAACTACTTCAGCATATTTTAAATGAAAATGGCTGGCTACAGATGGTGTCATCGAATCCTTGAAGGATATGTGAATCATATTATAATAGAGATTAATGTGGGAAGGATGAAAAAAGATGATTATTAGTTTGACAGTTGGAGTGAAGGAATGAATTTGATTTTTTTAACAGAAATAAATCAAATAAAAGCTTTACAAAAGCTTGCATATAAATGACAGTATAAGTACTTATGCTTATAATAAGTCTTTAGTTTTCTCTAGTGATGTTCATCGAAAAAACTCCTTTATTGTTCAGAAAATGAATTATTGCAATTGTGGGAAACTGAGCAGATACAGTGCCTAGATATAGAAGAATTGGGTTTCTTTGGTTTTGAGTGCTATAACTTCCCTCCCTCCTGTTTCCAATGTACCAGCTCTGTTGTGTTGACTTGAATTCATTCTTCTTAATAAAGGAGACATATTTTCTCACTTTGATAAATGTATTTTCACTTCAAACATTCCACTTCAAATCCAAAGTGAAGCATGGAAAATTCAAAGGAATCTGGTGGAAATGAATTTTATTTTTGAGCTTTATGAGGCTCTTGTCAGAGATTAATTGGGTTAAAAAGCCTCATCAGAGACTAAAATGATGGTCACAAAAATAGCCTTGAAGAAACCTCAGGACTCTGTGATTTAAAGTTGTATCTGAGAGGAAGAGATGTTTAACTCTATTATACATCTTAAAATTAGCTTTCTTGATAGATCCATTAAAAAAGAATGCCAACTTATCTTTCAAATTCTCTAGGGTGGAGGACTTCTATTTAGAATCTCTTTCTGAGAGTAAAATTTAGAACAAAGAAGGAGACCTTTTGAGTATTTTGAGGTCAGTATTGGAAATGAGCTTAGGTTTTTATTATGAACTGAAAAGATTTCTTAAATACTGTTGGTCCAATAGGATAAAAATACAATAGCTTAACTGTCACCTTGTGGAATCTAGATTGCTGAGCTGCAAGTCTGTGAAAGGCATGGTTTTCAGTGATTTCATATTTAAAATGCTTACATTTTAAAGGTTACAGCTGAATGTATCTTAGAAATTTTGTAATGGTTGGTGCACGTGTTCCAGTTCCATATCTCAAATTGTGTATTAATCAAACCATGTTGAACTGTGGCTAGGAATCTATAGCGTAGTGGTTACGAATCGGGCTGCGAACCTTAAGGTCAGCGGTTCGAAACTACCAGCCGCTCCACGGGAGAAAGATGAGGCTTTCTATTCCCGTAAGGATTTACACCCTCGGAAACCCTGTACAGGGTCGCTATGGGTCGGAACCGACTCGACGGCACTTAACAACAACAACAACAACATAAAACAGCAAAAGAGGTGTTTTGGTGAAAGAAGCTTAAAAGCATGTGATGTTGTGAAGGGAAAAACCAATAACATCATTAGCTTATCAGGCGTTCTAGGTTCAAACCTAGGTTCTTTGCCTAGGCCATCTTTAAATGTAATCTTGAAACTATCTCATGAAATTTCAGGTTCCATGTACAATGGGTATGTTAATATCTGCTTCACAAATTATTTTGTGAAGATCAATGTTAAACACAGTTCAAGCACAGAACACTATGCCTGTCATCCATTCAGTGCTTAATAAATATGCACTCTGTATGCTGAAGGTAGAGAAAATAGGGTTTCAAGAGATTGGTCTGAGATGATGAAAGAATGATGACATCATATTTTTGTAAAAACTGGTAAATTATATTGATCTCACTTATATGATTTGTAGTGCTTTACATTTTACAAAATCTTTCATGTGTGATATCTAACATGAGCATCCCAGTAAATCTGAAAAGAAGGTATTCCATTTTAAAGGAAACAAATCAGGCTAGACCATAAAGAGAAATCCTCAGAGGTAAAACTTGATTTTGGATCCTGTTGCCATTTCCTTCATCTGTTCCTCCTCCCTCCCCACATCCTCTGTACATCTGTGAGATATGAGTTGGCAAGTAGCAGTTTTGCAGAAGTTTGAGTATATTAGGATTTTGTTGTTATTAATGCTGTTGTATAGAATGTCTTTAACGCAGACAAGCCTGGGTTCAAATATTGCAGTCCTACGTCTCACTTCTGTGTGACCTCCAGTATGTTATTTAACTTTTTCCAAACTTCTTCCTCACTGGGACAATGCTAATCTCATAAATTGATGTGTTGATTAAAAAGATAATGCATATAAAGTACTTGACTTATAAATAGGTGTCTGGGTGTCAATCATTTTTTCCTTGCCTTTTTTAAAAAAAACCTTCTACTGTGAATTGGTGGAAGCGTAGTGGTTACGAATTGGGCTGCGAACCTTAAGGTCAGCAGTTTGAAACTACCAGTTGTTCCATGGGAGAAAGATGAGGCTTTCTGCTCCCGTAAAGATTTACAGCCTCAGAAACCCAGTACAGGGTCGCTATGAGTTGGAACCGACTCCACGGCACATAACCACGACCAACCAACCACTGTGAAATGGGTGAGGGTTTACAGAGCAGATCAGTTTCCCATTCAACATTTTCAAACACATTTTGTTTTCTGTCATTATTGCAATCCCTGTCATGTAACATTACTTACTCCCCCTCCTACCTGTGTTTTCTGTTTCTAGTCTTCCTTCTTTCCGAACCCTTCTGAACTTTGTATTTGGGTGACTGCTGCCCTTTTGATCCTCAGTGCTTGATTATTCTAAGATGAGCATATCTCACTAGTGTTATTATTCCTCTTGTAGAACTGTCTATTGTTTGACTGAAAATTGAGCCATGGGGGTGGGCTGACTTACAGATCTGAAGTATATTAAGTGTCATTGTTTTGGGGGCTCTATCAGTCTCTAGTTGACCAATAAGCCTGCTGTTTGTTTTTGTTTTGTTCGTTTTATGATTTCAAGTTTTGTTCCACATTTTTCTCCCACTCTATCCAGGACCTCCTAATGTGATCCCTTTAGGAGTCATTGGTAGAAGTAGATGGGCCCCATCTAGTTCTTGTGGTCTCAGTGTTGTAGAGATTGATTCTCCTGTGGTCCATTAGTCCACTGAACTAATGTTTCATTGCATCTTTTATTATTATGCTTCTACATAACTGTTTAATTTACAGACTGGAATTCCAAATTTCAAAGAAAAGGGATGGCTCATTAGACAGATTATATACATATACCTATTTAATATCTATCTATCCATTTATCTATTTTAGAGAACAATTTATGTACACCATGGAAAATGTGAATTTCTTGCATTGCAGAACAGAACTTCAAGATGTGCTTGAAATCTCTTTTTTGATCTGGTACTTCATTAATGATATGTAAGAGTGGGTGAAAATATGCCATTGCTCAACATTAGTTTCTTTTGTGGGAGGTTTTTAAAAAAGATATGAAGTCCTCAGCAGTTCATAATTCTACTTGAAAGAAAAAGAAAACTTAGCAAAAGTTTTTATATGCTTACCTTCAGTTCTTCAGTTTCAATGAAGCCACTGTGGTCAGTATCATATTTTCTCCATGTCTGTAAGCAATTTTCAATAATGAAAAACAACACATAAAAAAAAAATCCAACCATTTTCATACTCTAAGCAGCTTTCTGATTGGGTCACTCAATGCCAGCTGTCTCATACCTTCATGAATTCCTCACAGGACTTCAGCTGCTGGCATCGGAAAAGCAGCAGAAAGTTTTCTTCTGTGGGTAATACATGAGCCAACTGGAAAAAACATTTAAAGAGAGAAAGGTTGTTATAAGGTACTTGCAGCAGCTATTACCTGCTGCTTAGCTTTCCTTTTGTAAACACATTTTCTAGGAGTGGTTTCAGTGCCTCATAATTTAGGAGATGCAAGACATTAGAGTTGACGTTCTCTTTCTGGTACTTTGTTCCTAGAAAGTGACATCATATTTTCAACGCTTGTGTGACCTTAAGCACTTGCTTTTCCCTTCAGTGAGATGACTGAGACTGTTGTGCTCAGACAGGACTAATGTGGCCACTTCCAGTCTGCTTACATACAAGCAGATTTATCTGGTGGCTTGAGCCCTTCATCTCTTCACTGTCACTGATCAGGTCTCCCTGCAGAACAGACTTTGGAGCCATAAAATTCCATGTGCAATGGGAAGAAAGTAGGTCAAACAAGAATGTAGGAGAAAGGAAGGGGAAAAAAAGTGTATCCCTAAGTCCAAGGGAAGATAAACCAAAGGCAATTGTAAGGCAGTAGAAAGAGAGAAAGAAGAAATTTGCAAAAAACAGTGGGAAATTTAATAATGTAATAGGAAAAAAACACAAAGAGTTGGCTTCTGCTAAAAGGACATCCACAGTTTGAATGCAGGGCTTGGGTTTATTTTTGATTTCTACTTCCCTGGCTTTATAATTCCCCTAAGATCTCATTTCAGAATGTCAATGAGTCTATTCTTTTTTTCTTTTGGAGAAAAAAAATGGCTCTAGATCCCATTTTAAGACTAATACGATCTATCTATTGCAATGTGGGGAGGTAGGAAGGCGGATTGATGGCCCCACTTCAGACATGAGACTCTATTTCTGGCTCAGCTGCTAATTAGCTGTGATCCCCAGCAACTCCCTCAGCCATTTCTGGACTTCAGTACCTCAACACTAAATTAAGGAGTTGAACTAGAAACCAATGTTTCTGATATGTAATGAGTTCAAAGCTCCTTTGAGAATCTGTTGAAATCAATGTGTCTTCACCATTAAGGAATGTATGTATGTACACACTGGATTGTGTCTGATTTCCAGATATTGGTGATTCTATGAGGATCAAGTATAGACCCTTATCCCTGAATTTTAGGCCAAGAATCTATTGTTTTGATCTATCCTCAACTCAGTAAGGTTCTAAAAGTTCTACCATATTATAAGAAAGATTATCATTCCTAATTTTTTTTTTTTTGAGAGTCGGGTAGGAATTTCATCCTTTGGTGTCTATTAAAAACACTTAAAATAATATAAAATGTATCATTCTCCCTTATCTGCAAGTTATCCCATCTTCTTTATTGCTGTTGTTAAATGCCATCGAGTTTGTTCCGACCCATAGCAACCCTATATAGGGTTTCTGGGGAGCAGCTGGAGAGCTTGAACCACTGATGTTGCAGTTCAAATGGCTTTGCAGTCTGATGCATTAACCCACAGTGCCACACCAGGACTTCCCTATCTTCTTTATGATTTTATAAAATTCTCTTTATGTTGTTTTTAGATCTTTGAAACAATGACTCAAATTAGAACCATTCAGTTTATCGGCAGTCCATGTTGGGGCAAGACTGGACAAAGGGCCTAACATCTTATTAGGTCTTTTTGTATGATCCACTCAGAAATCAATTTCTTATTTATTTTGAAATAAATGTCATTAGTGTGGGTGCTAAGGAGTCCTGGTGTGATGCTGTGGGTTAATACACTGGACTGCAGGGTTAGTTTGAACCAAAAGGTCAGTGGTTCAAGCACACCAGCTGCCCCTCAGAAACCCTATAAGGCCGCTCTGAGTTGAAACTGACTTGATGACACTTAATAACAAGAAGCGTGGGTGTTACTGCTGCTGCATGTCACTGAGTTGGTTCCAACTCATAACTACTGTATATAAGGTTTCCAAATCTGTAAATCTTTATGACAGTAAAAAGTCTCATCTTTCTCCCACCGATCGGCTGTTGGATTTGAACTGCTGATCTGTGGTTATCAGCCATATACACGAACCCAATACAATATCTGAACTCATTAATGTGGGTGGTGGTGGCGGTTGTGGTGGTGTGCAGTCCAGTCAGTTCCGACTCTCGGTGGTAGTGGTATGCCGTGGAGTTGATTCCAACTCATAGCTACCCTGCATAGGGTTTCCGAGGCTGTAAATCTTTACAGGAGCAGAAAGCCTCATCTTTCTCCCACAGAACAGCTGGTAATCCTTGAGGTTGGCAGTCCAACTCATAACCACTACACTACCAGAGCTCTTCTGATCCTGTATAGGGTTTCTGAGTTTGTAAATCTTTACTAGAGCAGAAAACCTCATTTTTCTCCCTCAGAGTGTCTGGTCAAACTGCTAATCTTGTGGTTAGTAGTCCAACATTACCTGGGCTCCTTATTAGTGTGGGTTGTTGTTAAGTGCCTTCGAGTAGGTTCTGATTCATAGTGGCCCTATATAGGGTTTCCTTGGAGCTGCTGGTGAGTTTGAACCACCGATCTTATGGTTCAAACTGACCTTCTCACCCATTACTTTATTCCACGGCACCATACTAGGACTCCATTCGTGTGGGAGGTGGTGATTATATGTCATGGGGTCAGTTCCCACTCATAGTGATCTTGTATAGGGTTTCTGAGGCTATAAATCTTTATGAGAGCAGAAAGTCTCATTTTTTTCCGGAGGATTGGCTGGTAGTTTCAAACTGCTGACCTTGAGGTTATCAGCCCGATTTGTTACCATTAAGCCATTGTTGTTGTTGTTAAGTACCTTCGAGCCTGTTCAACTCATAGCAACCTTGTATTGGGTTTCTGAGGATCATTTGGTGAACTTGAACTGCTAACCCTGTGTTTCCAACTGACCTTACAGTCCAATGCATTAACCTACAGCATCACACCAGGATTATGCTATAGATGGTAATATATCCAAAAAGAGAAAATAGGGAGTTAGCGTTTGCCAATGATATGTTTTGGGAATCTTTAAACAAATTTACATGACGACACCGTATATGTGCCTTATCCATGTTTCTTATTAAAATCAGGGTATAATTCTGTGACCTTAGAATTCTTAAATCACTGACTACTATAACTCAGAAAAAAATTTAATTCAGAGTAACCCAGAGCCCAATATTTATAGCTAAGGAGTCAGATCTAAAGAAGTTAAGTGATTTGTCTTGGCTAGTGGCTGGCCTTGGTGATTACTTTTGCTGATTCTTGGTAAATCAAGTCAGCACCATGCTTGTTGAAGAGAGTAAATTGAATGGATTATTTCTTCACCTTGGCCTGCAACATAGTGGATTTATTGGTGATTTTTACATGTCACAGCAAGATATGATAAGCTATGTTTCCCCTTATTAAAAACAAGAACGTCATCCTTGTTACAAAGTCTGTTTCCTCTTCACACTGTAAGTGGGCTGCTAGTGAACAGTAACTATAAATGACTTTTATTCTAAAAATAACTAGATATCAGAAACCCAGACCTAGAGAAGAAGTTTCTACCTGTTACTAAGGGAGAGGAAAGGAAGATGGAAGGAGGATGGTGGTGGGTGGGCTGCACCTGGAGGGGTCACTGGGAGAGGGAGAAGTAAACATGCTTTTGAAACTTCTTGTAGAGCCCCACCCAGTCTACAGCAATACTTTCCAGAATGGTTCAGGAGGATGTTTCTCTGAGAATGTCAAAGAAAACTGGAGGAAAGAAAAAATGATTCAGGAAAGGTAGGGTCTAGAAGAAAAAGAAAAAAAAAAAGGAGCAAAGATGGAAGAAAAAGCACACATATCAAAGAGGGAGAAAATACATACAATAAAAAGAGGAAAAGATTCTTCAGAGCAGATTGACCATACGTTGGATGGTTCTGTGTAATACAGAGCATCTGGCAGTATTATATCAGGGTTGTACAATAGCATAAACATTTGTTTAAGGAAAGGAAATCTCCCAAACCAACACTTTCTTTATTTATTGGTATGTAACTTGCCAGATGCTGTCTTAAGTTTTTGGAGGGGCTCTTTCCACAGACCATCCATTTCAGAAGGGTAGCGAATCCTACTTGTTTGTATCCTTTGAAGGCTTACTTAACATGTTGTCCAGCACAGCATGTGCCTGAGTTCAATGTTTGCACATTGGTTAATAATCTTTCTTCATTAAAAATACCTATTAGCACTACGCATCATTGGGAAAAGAACAAGATGAATCTGCAAAACATCTCAAAATATGGATGAAACTGGAAGACATTATGTTTAGTGAAATTGTTATTGTTAAGTGCCATCGAGTCAGTCCTAACTCATAGCAATCCTGTACAGGGTTTCTAAGAAGCAGCTGGTAGGTTCGAACCACCTACCTTGTGGTTCATAGTCATGTGCTGATCCTACAGTACCACAGTGAAATCAGTCAATTATAAAAGAACAAATATTTTATGAGACCAATGTTGTAAAAAGTTAAGAAAGTATTTTAATTAAAGAAACAACCTATGATGGCTACAGAGGAGGGAGGGAGGGAAAAATTATTCATGGGCTAGAAGGTAGACACATGTTACCATGGGTGACAAGGCAAGCAATATACAAGAGGGAAGTTAGCAGAGGAAAGATGAAGGTAGCAGGAAACACAAGGAGAAATGCAATAGTTAAACAGAATAGAAATAAATACTGTTAACTGTACTGGGAGGGAATTGCAGTCATTGTAATGAAACAAAGTATATGATTTGTTGAATGTAAAACTGTTGATCAGCTCTGTAAAGCTTCACTCAATTCTCAATTAAAAGCTAAATTGAAAAAAATACCTATTAGCATGATTTAAAATTTTTGCTTTCTTCATTGTATTGCTTAAATTTTTATAACAAATGTCTGACTTGCACAAAACAATAATTTTTCTTTAAAAAATCCTACTATTCAAAATCACTGAGTTAATGGAAACAAACAAACAAACAAACAAACAGAAAAAGTATCATAAAAGAATGAGCTAGCCCAGAGAAACAGTGACACCAGAGATGGGCGTAGAGACGATGACATGGAGAGATGGAGTGGCTGGGAACTCTAGACCCAGAGAGGGAGAG